GTACAGCAGTAGATCAGTAGCTAGAGGCTCTGGGGCTATCTCACTGTGTGGTCTTAGGCCCTCGCTGACCTCAGTTTCCCCATCTGTACAGGAAGAATGGGCATTCCAGGACTCAGTGCCCAAACCTGAAACTCTAGGGGGTAGTGTTGCCCCCAGGGAACCCACGGCTGGAAGGACCCGCAGAGGGGGAATGAGCTCTTGGCATCCCAGGTGTGCTCTCATCAAAGAGCCGTGGACTCAGCCCTAGGCTTGATGCAGCTCCAGATGTCAGCTAGCTCTGAGTAGCTTCTGCTCCCCAGAGACCTGGAAGACCAAGGTCCTTGCCGCATGCATGGTCCCTGAGGGCTGAGGAGCACCCCTGCCTGACCCTTATCAGCACCATGGTCCCTGTCTGCTCCTGCACCAGCCCACTGCCCACTGCTGCCACCCTGCTCCCTTTCCCAGCCTGGATCCCATTTGCTCCCTGCCATATCAGTACCCAACCCCCAGTGCTGACGGTCAGGGCCCACTCGCTCAGTATCCCCCACCTCACACAGGCCCCCTCACCTCTGGACTGGGGAACGAGACCGGGGCTGCACGGGGCCTGGAGCAGCAGCAGGCTGCAGAGCACGAGGCTAGTGCCAGAGAGGACCCTCATAGTTCTGGCAGCACGGGCAGTAGCCGGCGCGGTTGTGGGGGCCAGTGGGGTCCAGGTCTTATCAACCTCGCTGCCCGCCCAGCCTCTGGGTCAGGTGGCCCCCAACTGACGACTGATGTGGGGGCAGCCCGCCCTGGCCCCTAGGCCCCCAGGGGCGGGGCTCGGGCTGAATGGAGGTGTGTGTGCCCTGAGAGGGCGGGAGCGCCTGGCCCGGGCTCCGGAGGCCCCTCTGACCACAAGGGCTCCTTTGCCTGCAGAAGCAACCAGAGCCGCAGCTGGAATTTGGGAAATCTCAGGTGGGTGGGGGGTGGCTCCTCCAGGGGCTGGAGCCCACACTGCCTTGAAGCTCCACCCCAAGCCCAGGCATACCTGAGTCCAACGGCGGAGCCCAGCCCTGCCCTGCACCTTCATCCCACACCCAAATCCTTCCCCCACCCACAACCCCAAGTTTCTCATTAAACGCACTTCCCCTTCCCTAGCCTCACTGCGCCCTGCTCTCTGCACACACCCTGCTCTCCAGCTACCCCTGGATTCTCCTCGAAGGCCTCCAGGCCATCGCACATGCACGGCCATCTGCCCAGAATCCTTTCCTCTCGCTAACTCTCTGCCTTGCAGTATCTTTCAAGGTCATAATCAGGGCTAACATGTACCTTCACTCAGTATGGGCAGGGCAGTAGAGACCATGGTTAAGAGCACAGACTTGGGAGCCAGGTTACCTGGGTTTGCTATACCAGCAAACCACCTGTGTGACCATGGGCCAGTGACCTCACCTCTCGTGTCTCAGATTCCTCATCTGGAAACTAGGGATGGTAAGAGCGCCTGCCTCGTAGGGTTGACTCAAGGAGTGAAGGAGTTAGGTATGGTTTCTCAGTTAATCCTCATGACAACTTTGTAAAGCAGCTACTGTTAAAGAACAGAGAGGTGAAGTAACTTGTCTGAAGTAACACAGCTAAGAAGTGTTATTGCCAGGAGAGAGCCCCAGGCCCGGCTCTCGGCCATGCTGCTGTCTCAGTGCAGTGTGATGGGGGTGCCTTCTTCATGCCCATCTCTTCCCGCTGTGGGTCCCTGCTTGTCCCACCTCACCTGTGAGCCAGTGGATTCAACTCTACATCAGGCCCAGCACAGAGAAGGCAAGGATAAAGCTTTCTAAACAAAGTGAAATCACCAGGAACGATCCTTTTCATTGCATTTGGGTCTAGTAGGTCATGAGATAGAGCGGAAAGAGCATGGGCTTGGCTACCTGAGAGATCCAGGTTCAAAGCCACTTCTGCTCCTATCTGGCTGTGTG